TGAAAACTGTACCATTTTATTCCTGGATATGAAAACTGTCCCATTTAGTTCCTGGTATGTATAAACTATCCCATTTAGTTCAAGGTATGTGTAGACTGTTCCATTTAGTTCCTGGATATGAAAACTCTCCCATTTAGTTCCTGGTATGTATAAACTGTTCCATTTAGTTCATGATATGTGTAAACTGTCCTATTTAGTTCCTGGATATGAAAACTGTCTCATTTAGTTACTGGTATGTATAAACTGTCCCATTTAGTTCATGGTATGTGTAAACTGTCCCATTTAGTTCCTGATATGTATAAACTGTCCCATTTAGTTCATGGTATGTGTAAACTGTCCTATTTAGTTCCTGGATATGAAAACTGTCCCATTTAGTTCCTGGTATGTATAAACTATCACATTTAGTTCAAGTCATTTGTAAACTGACCTATATAGTTATTTGTATGTAAACATAAAACAGTTGGCCCAGTCAACAGTTTCTGATGCCATTGTATGCTGATTGTTTCATTTATATGCCAGGATTTTAGTACAGGATCCAGTTCATACATTAATATGAAAACTATTCTGTCCATGGTAAGGTCTAACCTTTGACATAATACCAGTTGATCATTATATTGTTATTAGCCACTTGTGACATAGATCAGAATTTTAAAAACAGGATCCCTTATCATCCTGAATACCAGTTGATGTAAAGGGCCTACTCCACAGTAGGAAATGGTAGCAATTTATTTTGACTTGCAGGAAGCCAGGCAAAATTCAGATAATATCCATGAATCTAGCACACACAATTTCATCCTTTACTTGTGGAGCATGTACCCATTGTTAAATTTAGAAGTAACTACTGGATATTCATTTCCAGGTAAGTTTTGTTTATTTATTCATGTGTATGTGTATTCTGCACATACCACAGCTCTCTTTAATAGATCTTGTTAAGTGTGAATGAATTATATACAGGCTGACAGATGAGTGCATAGTTAACACCAAAAATTGCTTTGAATGAGAGGGAATCAACAGTTAAATAATTGGATTCATTTTATCAGCTTACTTTGTGTTCCTTTCCCTGACAGAATTTGGCTATTAAAAGGTAATGATATATAGAGTAAAGCTCTCAGCAGCCACAGAATGGTGTACAATAAAACCTAGAGACTATTTCTAACCCTGTTCAGGGATATTCTCAGGTATTCGGTAAATGCACTGTAATGGAACAAAACCCAGTTTATAATCCAATTTTCAGCCAATCAGGGCCAGTAGAAATGTGTTATTAGGGGTATTCAAGACAGAAATGATTCTTAGATAACCTCAATAATCTTGCTGATTGTTAGAACTGTTACATTGTAATTTTCATACCAGCTGATTTTTAGGAGATAATCTTTTTGCCCTGGAAACTGATATCTGTGATTATCCAGCTGAGAAGTTTTTGGAAGAGGGTGCAAGAATGTAATTTTAAAAAAAAATTAGATTGTTCTTTTAAGAATTATTCCCTTTCTTGCCTTTGACTTTGTTCTATATGCATTTTCTGGGATAGCTGAATTTGCTGGGCACTATATAGCCAGGATTGTGCTGATATGCCTTTAAAAATTATATACATACATTCATTGTTAGTCCATGAAAATAGTAAAACAAGAAAAAGTTTTAAACAGAACATTTTGGTCAAGTCCACCTTGGCAGAATCTTGAACACTTTGGTGTCTATGTGTCTTTGTGTCTGTCCACACACTAGATAAACCTGGATATGAAAGTTTATTTTAAGTGGTCAGTTTCTCAGCTACAATTTTCCACATGTGATAATATAGATTAAACTTGAAATGTAAAATGCCAATTTACAAAGTGATCATTTATGTGGGAGTTGGGGTGGCCAGCACTCTGTGCAGGCTATGGTCAAATTTTGTCTTTTTTAAAAGATTGTAAAGTTTGTATATTAAAGAAAAATGACAAGTGACACAGCTAAAATTATTTGTACAACAGAGAATGGGGAAAAAAGTAATTATAATAAATGAATTTTAGACTCTGTGTCAATAAGTTTATTAATATTGCACATTAATTAATGTGAGCACACTAGATTTTCAAACAAACCAGCAAATTCAAAATGGCAGCCACATGCAGCTGCCCTAATCAGAATGTACTTGTAAATGAGAATTTATGAGGCTTTTTTATAAAAATTATATACCTTAATCATTTGTATATAAATAAGTGCATGCTATTGCTGAGAATAAAGCATACATGTATCAGCTTTTGCAAGGTGGTTTCTGAAATGGCTTTAAATGCAGAAAATGTGGTGACTGGACAAGAATATATCTTTTAATCACCTCCAATATGGCACTCTTATTGATGACCATTCATGTAGATTGTAAGCTATAATACAATATTATAGCACTTCAACATGAAGTGTAATGTAAACTGGTTTTAAACTGTCTAGAGACTTCATCATGGAGTGCATAACAAACTGGTTCTAACTGTCTGGAGACTTCACCATGAAGTGCATGATAAACTGGTTTTAATCTGTCTGGAGACTTCAATATGGATTGCATGGTAAACTGGTTTTAAACTCTCTGGAGACTTCACCATGAAATGCAAAGTAAACTGGTTTTAATCTGTCTGGAGACTTCACCATGAAGTGCTTGGTAAACAGGTCTTAAACTGTATAAAGATTTCACCATAAAATGTATGGTAAACTGGTTTAATCCTGTCTGGAAACTTCACCATGAAGTGCATGGTAAACTGGTTTTAAACTGTCTGGAGACTTCACCATGAAGTGCACAGTAAACTGGTTTTAAACTGTCTGGAGACTTCACTATGAAGTACATGGTAAACTGGTTTTAAACTGTCTGGAGACTTCACCATGAAGTGCATGGTAAATTGGTTTTAAACTGTCTGGAGACTTCACCATGAAATGCAAGGTAAACTGTCTTTAATCTGTCTGGAGACTTCACCATGAAGTGCATGGTAAATTGGTTTTAAACTGTCTGGAGACTTCACACTATGAATTAAGTGCATGGTGAACTGTCTTTAAACTGTCTGGAGACTTCATCATGAAGTGCAAGGTAAACTGGTTTTAAACTGTCTGGAGACTTCAACATGAAGTGCATTGTAAACTGTCTTTAAACTGTTTGGAGACTTCACCATGAGGTGCATGGTAAACTGGTTTTAAACTGTCTGTAGACTTCATTATGAATTAAGTGCATGGTGAACTGTCTTTAAACTGTCTAGAGACTTCATCATGAAATGCAATGTAAACTGGTTTTAAACTGTCTGGAGACTTCACCATGAAGTGCACAGTAAACTGGTTTTAAACTGTCTGGAGACTTCTTCGATATGGAGTGCATGGTAAACTGGTTTTAAACTGTCTAGAGACTTCACCATAAAATGCAAGGTAAACTGGTTTTAATCTGTCTGGAGACTTCACTATGAAGTGCATGGTAAACTGGTTTTAAACTGTCTGGAGACTTCACCACGAAATGCAAGGTAAACTGGTTTTAATCTGTCTGGAGACTTCACCATGAAGTGCTTGGTAAACTGGTTTTAAACTGTCTGGAGACTTCACTATGAATTAAGTGCATGGTGAACTGTCTTTAAACTGTCTGGAGACTTCATCATGAAGTGCAAGGTAAACTGGTTTTAAACTGTCTGGAGACTTCAACATGAAGTGCATTGTAAACTGTCTTTAAACTGTTTGGAGACTTCACCATGAGGTGCATGGTAAACTGGTTTTAAACTGTCTGTAGACTTCATTATGAATTAAGTGCATGGTGAACTGTCTTTAAACTGTCTAGAGACTTCATCATGAAGTGCAAGGTAAACTGGTTTTAAACTGTCTGGAGACTTCACCATGAAGTGCACAGTAAACTGGTTTTAAACTGTCTGGAGACTTCATTATGAAGTACATGGTAAACTGGTTTTAAACTGTCTGGAGACTTCTTCGATATGGAGTGCATGGTAAACTGGTTTTAAACTGTCTAGAGACTTCACCATAAAATGCAAGGTAAACTGGTTTTAATCTGTCTGGAGACTTCACTATGAAGTGCATGGTAAACTGGTTTTAAACTGTCTGGAGACTTCACCATGAAATGCAAGGTAAACTGGTTTTAATCTGTCTGGAGACTTCACCATGAAGTGCTTGGTAAACTGGTTTTAAACTGTCTGGAGACTTCACTATGAATTAAGTGCATGGTGAACTGTCTTTATACTGTCTAGAGACTTCATCATGAAGTACAAGGTTAACTGGTTTTAATCTGTCTGGAGACTTCACCATGAAGTGCACAGTAAACTGGTTTTAAACTGTCTGGAGACTTCATTATGAAGTACATGGTAAACTGGTTTTAAACTGTCTGGAGACTTCACTATGAAGTGCATGGTAAACTGGTTTTAAACTGTCTAGAGACTTCACCATGAAGTGCATGGTAAACTGTCTTTAAACTGTTTGAAGACTTCACCATGAAGTGCACAGTAAACTGGTTTTAAACTGTCTGTAGACTTCACTATGAATTAAGTGCATGGTGAACTGTCTTTAAACTCTCTAGAGACTTCATCATGAAGTGCAAGGTAAACTGATTTTAAACTGTCTGGAGACCTCACCATGAAGTGCACAGTAAACAGGTTTTATACTGTCTGGAGACTTCATTATGTAGTGCATGGAAAATTGGTTTTAAACTGTCTAGAGACTTCACCATGAAGAGCATACTTTGCCATGGAAACTTTGCCATGAAAACGAGAGAGAGAGAGAGAGAGAGAGAGAGAGAGAGAGAGAGAGAGAGAGAGAGAGAGAGAGTGAGATTTGAATTTTTAATGTAGCTTTAAGACTTTTTCAATCATATGTCCATGATGTCAGCAGTGTAGCAGTTTATAGAGATGTCTAGCACTCATGCATCATGCCACAGTTATGAAGCATGATGCCCCACACAATCACGTTATCCTGATAACAGGCTGACCAGTCCTAACACTAAACTCATAATGCTGAGTGCCTAGTGAGGTAGATGTTAGTACCATTTTTGTAAATTTTTGGTATGACTCAGTCGGGGTTCAAACCTGTGACCTCCTACATCTGAGGCGGACATTTTAACCACTGGACCACTGGAGTGGTGTGCCATGAAGTGTGTTGTAAACTGGTTCTAAGCTGGCTATAAACTTTGCCATGGAGTGCATAGTAAACTAGTTTGAAACTGTCAAGAGTCTTCACAATGAATTGCATGGTACATTGGTTTTAAGCTGTCTAGAGAATTCACCATGAATTGCATGGTACATTGGTTTTAAGCTGTCTAGAGACTTCACCATGAATTGCATGGTACATTGGTTTTAAGCTATCTAAAGACTTCACCATGAATTGCATGGTACATTGGTTTTAAGCTGTCTAAAGACTTCACCATGAATTGCATGGTAAACTGGTTTTAAGCTGTCTAAAGACTTTACCATGAAGTGCATTTTAAACTGGATTTAAACTGTCTGGAGTCTTTAAAAGTGTAAAAGATCCTTTTTATCTCCATACTTTGTAAATACATGTACATCTGGAATATTGTGATACCTTACATGTATCAGTGTCTGTCTGTCTGTCTGTCTTTCCATCTGTTTGATACCACCACACCTCCTAAAATGCCAAGTGAAACTTGAGAAAACTTTGCAGTTATTTTGACCCAGTGTTAACCATAGGTAAGAGAGATTTCATCTTGAGGATATTTGGCACACAGGTACTCCACGCGACCCATTCTGACATTGGACCCTCTCTGTAATACTATATAAGAGTATATATATATATATATATATATATAGTATTACAGAGAGGGTCCAATGTCAGAACGGGTCGCATCGAATACCTGTGATTTGGCATACAAACATTGCAATTACAATGGCATTTTCAAATATTTTCTGACCAAATTCATATGTGTATTCTTGTTATAAAGATGCAGTATATATCAACATATTTTGTGTTATATCAGTGTCTTTGAGTAGTGGGATGGGGTTGGAATATGCAGGAATAAAGCATGGAGATATGTGATGCTGATTTATTTGTTTTTATTCATTGTTAACAGGAGAGCTATCAACAGAAAACTAATGGGGAATATAAATGATATCAAACAAGTGATTGGTTAGGATTTTAATTAGGATAATGCAAGTATGTCAATAATAACATGGCCTTCTGCAGAAATTCAGAGAGTCATGTCTTTGGTTCTGTATGTATTAGCATTTACCAGTATGTTTCATTCCTGTAGAAAACAGTTACAGAGCTTGCATGACTCTAATGATTTTTGCAACTGTAACAGTAATTGGATGTAGAAAGGCTTTAGAAAAATTGTTTTGTATTGAAAGAGTTTTTGAAAGTCTGAATCGGAAACTGGTTGTAATTAGGTAGCAATGTACACCTTTGTCTCAAAAGAAAAGTAAAGGTGTTATTTGAGTTTTAGGGAACACAGGTGCAGTTAGTATAAACAGCTCTGAAAATATCAATTGGACAAATAATTACAATTGTGCAGGTTTCTTTGATCCAAGTATTTGATCAAGTTTGGTTGGTGAAAACATGTATTCCAGGCCTGTTAAGTATAGAGTGACATCCCCTTGTAAGAGTATATAATTTTACAGAGTATTGCTGTTGATTGTTACCATCTTAAGGCCAAAGGTCATCATTTAAAGGGAATAACTTATTGGAAAAGACTAGCTCTGTTTAAAAGTTTTTTTTTTTACAAATTTCATATCTGAAGTAAATTTTAAAAGTAATTTTCATATACACTAAGTATCAAAAATTGATTATTGCTAAGATTTTCCATCTTTGAGTGAATTTTTAAAACTATATATTAATCTGTGAATGAAATCTCTGTTACTGAGTTTCTTTTGTTTGACAGAATGGAAATCAATCAATCCAAAATTAATTTAAATATTAGAGTTTGCAGGTTAATCTACGGTTGATGTTAGTAATTTTAATCAATAGAACTATATGTAAGTAGTTTGTCCATAACATTTTTGCATATGCACAGATGCAATTTTGTACATTGTTTATATTTACTTCTAAAATGAGTCCATATTGTACATTGTATATACTTTAAAATATGAGTCCATATTATACATTGTATATACTTACTTCTAAAATGAGTCCAACTGCAAAGATGTGCCATTGCATAATGTACCATAATGTAAGGAGTAATCAATAGAACAAAAACAACATATGCCATGGTTTTCAGGAGCATTATGCTATGACAGATTGGATCTTTTTTGTTGTTTGCAGTTTGCCTTGACATATAAGTGAGTATATATGGTAACTAAAACTGTGCACTGAGAATTTACTTGAAAGCTTTGAGATACAAAATTTCTTCAATGAATGATGATAATTACATTTTAAGATTTGCATACTTCACTACTTAAAATGAAAGGTGCTTCTTCAGTGAAATTTTTTTTTCTAAATAGTTGAGTTTGGGGTAGAATTGTATCACTTAAAAATTTGATGAATTCCAGGCCAGGCAGTCAAGACAACATTGCATTCCCTAAAAATGTGGAAAAAAGCTGAAGTAAAATGTGTTACATCACAGTCATGCTTGTCAATAAAAATGTAGGTTTCTCTCTGTTTTTTATATATATGCTTTTATGGATCATAAATGATGACTAGATGGTTGAGTCAATTGTTTTGGACTGCTCAGCAAATCACATGCTTTCATGATTTTTTTTACTGTCCTTTATATGCAGAGTCCAGATGTATTATACTGTGATGTTGTCCATCTACCCATCCATCCATCTTGTATGAACTTAAGGTTTGTTCAGTAAATTTTGTTTTGAGCCATCTAGTTATCAAACTTTGTAGAAGGCTTGCACTTAAAGTAAGGAAGGATGTTTTTGATTTTTGAGTCAAAGTCACTGTGACCAAAGGAAGGAAAACAGTTTCTGCACAATATCTCAAGTTTTCCAAACTCTACTGTTACCAAATTTTGTGGATAGTTTGCAATTGGGTTTAGGAAGAAACCTTTTGGTATTAGGGTCAAATGGTCAATTTTCAATGTCACTAAATTAAAGAGGAAAAATGGTTTGTGCATATCAACTCGAGTTCACCATCTCTGGTTACCAAACTTTGCAGTGAGTATAGTGAAGAACTCTATAGATTTTAGAGTGAAATAGGTTAAAGGTCAAGGTCATTAAATGAAATAATTTAGAAAATGGTTTCTGTACAATAACATTGGCTCTACCTGACATACACTGAAAACACTTTGTGGCTTTCTTGCACTTATTGTAAGAAGTAGACCATGTATGTTGGGGTCAACTGGTCAAAAGTTGAGGTCTATGACTGAAAGAAGAAATCAGGTTTTGCCCAATAACAGTAGATTTACATCACTGACCTGACCCATACTATGTGGATAGCTCTTACTTTTGGTAAGAAAGAAGTGTATTGGTTTAGGATTAATAAATCAAAGGCCAGGGTAACTCTTCAAAAAATAGAAAATTGTTTTCTGTGGAAGAATTATGAGTTATATACATAGAAAACTACCTAAGATTGGGTGGGTATAGAATGTGATATTATTGTTCTCTTCTGGATTATAATATGGATGGAGTTTATGACAGAATCTTGTAAATACAGTGGCTTGTCATGATATTGTATATGTTGTGTTCAGTAATGAAAGATGCACCTATCAAGATATCTCTGCTTCTGGAATGTTTTAGTCCCTTGTGTCTGTCTTGCAGCTGAATGCAATGTGTGACATGTGAATGCAACTTGATGCACATTATGATTGTCATCTGCATTGCCAGCAAATTAGAGTGCTCCTGTCATTTTTGTCAAGCCCATTTTAGGGTGAAATAATATATAACAGTCATTTTTCCAGTGATGGCAGAAACAGCCATCATGTTTAATCATTGCTGCCATCAGTTATAGTTTAAGTTCAAGTTTTTCATTTGGATTTAATTCCTAAACCTATTAATTAATTTTTTCCTGCTTGAAATGAATCAACTTAAGATAATTCATTATATGACATGCTCATTTCCCTATATGGCCTGGGAGTAAAAATCACAGTCACAGAATATTTGTTTTGGGACAAGTTTTTTATTTGCTTTATACTTACTAAACTGCTTCATAGATATTAAACATAATAGGAATTAATCATTAAGCTTACCAGTACATAATTCATTCTATAACATTCTCTCTTTCTCAGTTTACCTAGGATCATTGTATAAACTGAAATAAAAATTTTTAACGAATGTTTGTTTACTTTTATTTCATAAAGTCTTCAATGAACTGCTTCCTTCTTGGTACAAATAATTATGAAGCTGAGGCAATTAAATCTTCTGATTCGATGACCTTGGGGTCAATGACAGTCATGCGTTTGTTTTAAGGTTTTGTTTTAAGTTCTTTCATTTGCTTATATTTTGTAAAGCTCTTTATGGATTGATTTTATATTTGAGATGAATCATTACAAAGCTACCACAAATCATTCAGTTATATGCTTGTTGGTTTCCATGACCTTGGGTAAAGGTCACATTCAATGTCACACTCTTTGAAAAATTGCAGTGTGGTTTTGGTTATAAAAAAAATATTATTAACTTATATTTAAATACTAATAGACAGATTTTCCTAATACTTTGCATGACAGATGTTCTTAATACTTTGCATGACAGATGTTCTTAAAACTTTGCATCAAAGCCAGCATATTTGTTTAAAATAAAAAAAGATGAAGTCATTTTAAGCCTATAGATTTCAACTACTTCCTGAATTGTGATTTTCATACAGGTATTGTCACATGACATGAACTGTACAACAGTATAAATATACCCTGCATTCAGATAAAATCTAATTTAATGTTACTCAAGCTGCATTTGTGCAGTTATGTTTCATTACTCTGGCCAATAATACACACAACAGAAGATTAAACAAAATAAGCTTGATGATCAAAACCTTTTACACAGAGGTACAGTTAAGTGTTTACACTATCAGCATTGCAACCAAAAAAAAACTGAACAGCATTATATGCTAAATGCTTTCTGCAAGTTTTGATAAACTTTAAGTATTTCTTCAGAATGGATGGAACTTATTTAATGCTAGTTCAAAACATCAGTGGACCACTACAGTAGCCTAGGTGGTTAGAGCATCCATCTCAGATGCAGGAGGTTGCAA